ACCACAGACTACTGGAAGTTGTTAAGCCTCTCGTATATCATATTAGGAAAATTGTAAAACACATGCTATTAGTGCCAAGCACTCTCATATAATTGTTAAAAACTTCAAGTTTATACTGCCCGTGAATTAATGGAAAGGAACAAGAAGTCACCCCAAGGATCAATATAGAAGAGAATGGGGGGTTTGAGGTGACTGCTGATGAATGACTTTTGCAACAAGAGAGCGGACTAATTTTGAGTGAGTCAATAAGATAACATGTAAGAAAATTATGACATCACAGTTGAAGGCATTGTGGAACCTGATTATAGTCGTCATCGCTAAGTTCTTCCTCAACCTCCTCATTTCTGCATTTTCATCTTCATCTTCATCTTCCCCTTCTTTCTTTCTTTCTCACCTTTACCTTCCTGGCCCTGCAGGAAAAAGAACGTTGACAAATGATTTGGGAACCATTACATGAGTGCAAGTAGCCTATACTATCCATATCTAAAAATGCAAAATATAATATTACATTAATGAGACCCGCTAATTCTTACAATAGTGGTCAACGGAACATTACTCAGCTAAGTTTACATTTCACGGTGAACCGTCCCCCTTCATTTATTAAACCAAAATTATATTAGAAAAAGTATTCAGAAAACTACAAAACCACCTCCCAGTAGTATAGACTCCACTGATGCCAAATTAAGGAATCCAGGAAAGTTGGACCAGAAGTGTGACCACTGTAATGTTACCATGGAAAAATGATGGCATGATATTTTAGGCAGAGGTATTTTACCTGAGCCTTTTTCTCAAGTTGTTCAAATAAATCTAGCGTCTTCAAATCTGTCACACAAACATCTTAAATAAGTCTTGTGCAATATCACAAGTCTGTATCGTATAATTCTATCATGAGTTAAGAAGGATATGCCTCAAAACTAAAGTTCACACCAATGCAAGTCCTTCACAATGTGACAAAATCCATTCAATAGAAACCAATTTTGGCAGCAGGTGAAGCTTTCCAACATTCATGTAATCTTGTTGCATCTTTAATGGAAAAATAGCCATGAAAATATACTGTTTATTATCAGAATGAACCAATGATCTATGGGATATAACTGGCAACAGAAGTTTCAAAAAGATTTTTTAAGAGGGAGAGATCTATTTGCACTTTAAAGGTTAACTTCGGAGCCAAACATTAAACTGAATACCAGGCTCAAATTAGCACAAAACTGACAAATTTAACAAATAAAAAAGGCATGTGAAATCATCAAACCTGACTCTGGGTTCCACCGGAAACTTTTCCGCTTTGGTATACGTCGTGTCGTACCTGAAAATACCATATGGAGATTTGGAGAATCTTTGTCAAAAAAAAGGTTAAAACAAAAGCATAATATATTTGTGGAATTTAAAATATGACTATTGTCTTGTATTCCATTGCACGCACCTTGAATCAACTCTTTGGGAAAATCTTTGAACTCTAAAACTTGTGATAGAGAATCACGAGTAAACACAGCCTTTTGCCTGTCAGAAAATCTTTCCACGTCTAACCTTTTCCTCTCTGACATTTGGACAGATATTAGAATAGTGCAAATGAAGCTTAGCACAAAAAGCTAGCGCACAGTTGAGGAAGGAAATTTTCATATCTTTGGAGCCAAATACGGAGCAAATATGCGATAGACAATAAATATGTTTTGAAAACTCTATGTCCGGTCTATCTGGTTGCACCTCTAACCCGATTACATATCAAGACCTCTTTAACCCCATCTGATGCGATATGTGGCACTAATTCACTTCCTTAGGTAAAAGAATTTATCTTATACATCACAATGGAATGCAATTTAGGTTCTGATAGATACAATACAGACAGAAGAGATGGTAAACCCTAAGTCCAAAGCATCTAGCCTCACTTCTCACTCTCCTGTTGTAAGACTATATTTACTTGGCTTACTGCTTCTATATCTATAAAATGAAGAATCAGTTCTGCTTGAGAGGCATCCTGCATTTGCCCTATATGTGTAAGAAATTAAAATTCATTTCAAGAATTTGACACGAGAATAGTCTGCATAAGCATAGTTTGTCAAGCGAGTGCCACAGTTATGGTGCAACAAGAGTGCAAAGTTCAGGCAAGAGAACTCTGGAAGACGTCCACAACCTGAAATCTGGTGCTTTAGTCACCTACCACCTCTCACTTCAATTAGGGTACATTGTCAAAGTTCAAATATCTACAATTCATTACACATAAGGATGGTGAAATTAATGAAGACATTTCTCATAGAATACAAGCTGGGTGGTTAAAGTGGAGAAATGCTATTAGAGTTATTTGCGATAAGAAAGTACTTGCAAAGCATAAGGGAAAATTCTATTGGATTACTATAAGACCAGCTCTATTACATGGTAGTGAATGTTGGGCTCAAAAGGGAAAACAAGAGCATAAAGTTGGGGTAACAGAAATGAGAATGTTGAGATGGGATATGTGGTCATACAAAAAAAGATAAGATTCGAAATGAAAATATCAGAACAAGAGTAGATGTGACACCTATCGAAGAAAAAATAGTTGAACATAGTTTGAGACAGTTTGAGCACATGCAGAAAAGACCATCGGAGGTGCAATGTGGAAAAAGTATATCAGACAGTTCAGAGTCTTTTGAAAAGAGACAAAGGAAGACCGAGAAAAATGCTCAATGAGATCATTGAACGAGACTTTTTAGTTAACAATCTATCTAAAAACTTGGTTGTTAATAGAACACAATGACGTCGTACGATCCATATAACCGACCCCATAATGGGATAAGGCTTGTCATCGTCGTCAACATGGCTTTTACATATCTAACTGATAATTGACTTCCTATGATACATAAACTGTCTAAAAGGAATTTTAATGCTTACTCTTTAAGTTAGTGTCCTCCAGAAAGTAAGGAGAGGCTTTCCAGTAATTCTTCAACTTGTTATTCCAGTTAAGCAACCTTTTCATGCTGGCATCGATATCATCCACTTTACCATCAGGCAAGACAACATCCTGCAGTTTCATGAGTACAGTGATGAACAGTCATGTAAGTTATTAGTTCTAACAATTGATGACAGTATAAATAAATATTCCCACAACTTTTAACAGTATTACTCCATAACATATTCAATCCATAATAAAACACAGGACTGGAAGAAGAGACTAGAGTTTTGTTTTAATTTTTGGTTTTTGTCTACTGCCATTGGAATGACTTGTTAAGTATAAACTGAGTTCATCATAATTGTCGAGATTTCAATCAACAAGTCAAAAAATACATAAATGACCAAAAGCACACACTGTCAAACTATTGGTTACAATATCCATCCCTGCCCAATCAGCCAGGCCCAGTTAAGGTTAACTGTCATCTGCACTAATATGCTTGTTTAGTCAAGGACACACCAGAATCCAGATTTAATAAAGTCCGCCTTATTTATTAAGTTCAGTTTCTGCTAAAATTCTTGGCCTTTGATAATGAAAGAAAACCTGAATAGTCAATGTCTCAAAGATAGGTCAAATTACCTCAGGAAAAAGCACAAATGCCTCAGGTTTGGAAAATGAAGGGCTGCCCCAAACTCCATAACCCCGTCCCCGTCCTCGTCCTCTGTATGCCATTTCTGCACAAATGCATTACCAAACTACTAATATATTGTGTCCATCTATGGATGAAAAAGAAGGTGCACTCTGACCAAAAAAGGGTATGCAAGTATTTATGATAGAGCAGCATTGGTTAATCACATGTTACAAAATATTTACACCCATGGCTTAATTTACTCTTAATCATACTCATATTAAAGAAAATATGAACGATATATAAAGAAACTAAAAAAAAAAATAAGTGTCAACTAGCATATATTATGAGACTGGAAATAGTTAGAATCACTAGCTTATCTACAAGTAGCACATGACTTGTCGAGAAGTTAAGACAAACAGGTAGCCTACATATCAGATGGGAAACGGAAGCAACCCAGACAAATGGACACAAGACGCAGGGTATGCCCAGCGAGCAGACGAGATCAGTTAGGAACACGATCTCACGGGCAACAGACCGCGACGAGACCACGATTTCAACCCAACTACCCAAGCACTTACCAACTGATTGCGCACAAATCGGCCCGAGAGGAGGGAGAGGCGCAGTGGGCCGGAGAATATATCAAATATATATCAAATTAAATATCATAATTAAAAAAATTATAGGGGAAATTGCAAATAAAGACCCCCCAATATATAAAATGGCAATCAGGGACCCCCAATTTGAGAAATTGCTGCAGAGGACCCGGTCCCAATTTGCAATTATGAAATGTAAGGAAAATGGCTGAAATGCCCCTCACTCATTTGAAAAGAAAAAAACCTGTCCGCGCTCTCCTCCCCCCCAAAACGCGCGGTAACTTCCTTTGTATATCCCGTCGGCCATTCTTTGCGGTGTGCTCTGTTTATTTGTGCGCAAGAGTTTGTTTCCATTTTGCGGCGATAGGAGTATTGTGTGAGAGAAGAGTGTATTTGCTGTGGGAGAGGAGAACGGAGTCGTGCTGGAATAGTGATCTATCGACATCATCAAAGGCAAGGGAGGAGGTAGAGGCATCGTGACAGTCGTGTGTGGCTATCAAAGTTAACAGCGGCATTTGGCGACAAAATCTGGTGGTAAGTTTCAAGCTTTAGTTTGTTTGTGTTCGTTGCTGCCTGTGTGATACATTAACGAGAGGGAAGGGAATGCGTTTAGGGCAGGAACGTATATATATGTTTTTTCTGTTGAATATGCTGTGACTGATTGGCGAAAAATGGTTATCTGTGGAAGAAGATGGGCGAATGGGTTTGGGTGGGAAGGGAATTAGAAGATCAGTTAGGAGGATGACAAGATTAGTTTGGGAAATGACGACACTTGAATGGGTAAAGGGCAAATTGAATTGGTTAACTATTAATTGATCTGAAGAGATGTTGAAGTGATAGTGTCGTTTAAAATGACAAAATTGAAGTAGGGGGATTGACAAGTTGATAATGCAAAATAAGAATGTGTAATTGACAAGTTGGTAATAGAAAATAACAAGTTGAATATAATGAATAACAAGTTATTGAGCAGTTGGGAATAAGAAGGTTGCCATGGGTTCCTAACAAGTTAACAATAGGAAATGACAAGTTTAAAAATGACAATAAGAAGTTGGGAATAAGAAAGGCGATTATGACAAATGGAGAACTTTATAATGTAAAATAACTAGTTGATAATTATAAATGACAAGTTAATGATGAGAAATAACAAGCATGAGAAGTAGTTGAGACTAACAAGTTTACTTTGAGAAATTAACAACTTGCTTATATGAAATTACAAGTTCATGTTTCGAAATAAGAAGTAAATGGTGGTGATGTAAGAAGGCTGTTGGTTACAGAATAGGTTGTTAACAGAGGTGATAGTTAGTTAGTAAATGTGGTTGTGAAGGATTGTATGTTGAATATTTTGCAGGAAGAGGAAGATGGCATCAGAAGGAGCCTCTGGATCAAAAAAGGCACACAACGGTTGGGTGTTATTCAGAAGTGAGTTTATGGCCACAATAGCTGACCCTGACATGACAGCCAAACAAAAAAGAGATGCTGCGTCAAATGCATGGAAAGCTCTGGCCGCTGAAGAGAAGATGAGGTACACCGAGGAGGTGAAGAAAAGAAGGGCACAAAAGGGAGAAGAGGAGAAAAAGAAACATGTCCCATCATTTCTAACCCGGGTGTCCCTGAAGGGATTAAGAAAATTACTGCACTTTGTGAACAATAATGAAGACTTAAGGGAGAGGGTTGAGAGGATGGGCTTCGGGAGGCTGTTGAAGGTTGGATTAAAGAGACTACCCCGTGATCTCATTGTGACCATGCTGAGATCATATGACCCGCCAACGCATCAATTTACAATCAGGGGCAAATCAGAGGAAATAGGAGCAGAAGATGTTGAGCAACTGCTAGGAATCCGTCACGGTGGGGAGGAGGTGAAAACTAAAGTTGATGAGAGTGATGCTACGTATCAGGAGTTGAGAAATGAATATCGGAAAGTGTCATTCAGCAAAATACTAAACGACATTGTTTCAGGGGAGGAGGATCACAGATTCGAGTTTTTATTTGTGCTATACACCCTGGGTACTTTTCTATGTCCGAATTCAAGCTCAGAAGTGAGTGAGAAGTTGGTTAGAGTCATGCGCTGCACAATGGATGACTTTGGAAAGTATGATTGGGCTACCTATATTATAAAGGACCTCTGGAAAGAAATGGGAGACTATGTCAAAGGGTACAGGCGGGGCAATGAAGGGCAGGGGAGTAGCACTGTTGGTGGCTGCATATACTTACTTCTGGTATGACTATTTTATTTGTCATTGTGTTTGCATTTGATTACCGATGTGCATAACGTTAATGTTGTATATATGTGGCTGGCTTGCAGCTTTTTTTTGGTGAGAATTTTAACCTAAACACGCCTGTTGGCCGAGAGTCCACTACTGCAATTGAATACTGGACTGATGAGAAAATAAAAGAATTGGCCAGCAAGGAGAGGAAGAGTGTTAGGGGAATTATGTATGGAGGAAAAGGCAGTGAAGCTGTGACAGGGAAAGAAGAGAGGATAATTGTAGAGTTTTTGGACCCGGTATGTGGTATAATTGGTAAACTAAAGTTTTTATTTCGTAACCTGAACTTGTTATCTGCCATAGTATTGTTGTCATTTCCTATACTGAAGTTCTGATTTGCTATAGTGACATAGAGCTTTGTCATTGTTAAGTTGTAATTTGGCAAACTTAAGTTGTTATTCGCAATACTTATGCTGTGATTGGCCATATTGAACTTATCAATAGGTAGACTGACTTGTGATTTTGTATATTGAACTTGTCATTCGGTATAATGAACTTGTCATCTGCGATACGTGAGTTGTGATATGGTTTACTGAACTTGTCATTCGGTATAATGAACTTGTCATTTGCCATACGTGAGTTGTGATATGATTTACTGAACTTGTAATTCTGTATAATGAACTTGTGATCTGCCATACCTGAATTGTAATCTGGTTTACTGAGGTTGTCATTCGGTATAATAAACTTGTGATCTGCCATACCTAAGTTGTTATTTTGTTTATTGAACTTGTAATTCTGTATAATGAACTTGTGATCTGCCATACCTGAATTGTAATCTGGTTTACTGAGGTTGTCATTCGGTACAATAAACTTGTGATCTGCCATATCTAAGTTGTGATTTTGTTTACTAAACTTGTAATTCTATATAATGAACTTGTGATCTGCCATACCTGAATTGTAATCTGGTTTACTGAACTTGTCAATATGTCATAGTGAAGGTGTCATTTTCCATAGTGAACTTGTTGTTGTATATACTTACTTGATTAATGTCTTTTACATGCAGGAGCTGAAGAAGTTACGTGAGCGCCTAATGAAGAGGATAGAGGAAGGGCAAAAGATGCTAATGAAAATGGTGGATGAGGAGTTGGTGAAGGTGCAAATCCCAAGACAGGGAGATGGTGGGAAGGGTAAATCAAGAGGAAAGGCTCGGGTTGAGACAGTGCCTACAAATAGAAGTGACTCTGAAGATGATGAGGAGGAGAGGCGCAACAATGATGACATAACTGAGGAAAAGGAGAAGGATGAAGTAAGCAGTGAAGATGGAGACAGTCATGGGAAGGGCGACACAGAGAATGACAGCGACAATGAAGAGATGGAGGAAGAGGGTCAAGGGGATGGTGATGACAGGAGCGAAGGGGAGAGGGAATACAAGGGTGATGCAGAGGGTGACATACCTGCAGCCAGTCCCCCTAGGGAAGTGTCACCCACCATTGAAGGTGATGAGGGTGACATACCTGCAGCCAGTCCCCCTAGGGAAGTGTCACCCACCATTGAAGGTGATGAGGCAGAAGGTCACTCACCGATGGAGGTATCCCCCCTGGCCATTGTTGAATATGTTGGGCCTGATCCAGAACCTGTATCTGTGGAGGCACAACAACTAAGGAGATCTACTAGGGTTCGGTTCAGCAAGATCAAGTCTCCTTGGTTGGAGTTGAAGGCACAATCAAGAGTGAAGAGGCCTATGGAGCCCAAGGATATTTTGTTCAACTTAGTCAGCCGAGCTGTCAAAGGTGATGAGGGTGAGATGTAAGTGAAAATCTTTGCTTATGTGATCTTATTTGTTGACTACATGTTAACATAACACATCTAGTAACTCACTTGAATATGTTTCAGTCCTTTGATCAGAATGTTTGATGAAGACATCCCCCGACGATTGCTGCATTCGCTTGGTGGAAATAACAGGGTGAGTAACCGAGTGATGTCGTTGGTCTGTAAGGCTTTGGTGCAAGAGCAGCAGGCAGTTGAAGGCCGAGTTAAGAGGCATATATTTGATGCAGACTTCATGGTGATGTTTCTGTATTACTAATAGGCTTTGTTGATTTACAAGATTGGAAATGAAAATGACAGAATAAAGTGTGTTACAGTGAATAAGAACTTGGTTTTCTGCATTTCACAGGCCATAATGACCCGTGATCCAGCTCGTTGGGATCCTAACCAGCATGCACGACAAATACTTCCGCATTATGTTGGCTACAACATAGGTGACTGTGACTTGATTCTGGGTCCTGCTCTAGTTGGGGAGCATT